TGCTTAAATTCAACAGTTTCATGTTGCATTATTGTATATTAATTATTGTCATGCATGATACTGCACTTCATAATAGAGGAAGAGATACCTTAACTCCCTCTTCTGTATTAAAGGAGATCGCTGGTTTGTGTGAGTGATCCTGCTTCCTGGAAACATTTTTCTGGATTGTCTGCAGGTTTCAGCAGCTAGAGAGGAAGTACCTGGCCGTCGTGGCTTCCCAGGTTACATGTACACAGATTTGGCACAGATTTATGAGCGTGCTGGGCGTGTGGAAGGCAGAAATGGTTCCATTACCCAGATTCCTATTCTTACCATGCCCAATGATGGTGAGTGTGCCGTGTTCACTGTCTTAAAGCTGGTGCATTGCTGCCCAAATGGATGTGAAAGGGCTGAAAACAGCTTAAACCTCTACTTTTTTCAGATATTACTCATCCCATCCCTGATTTGACTGGATACATCACTGAGGGACAAATTTATGTGGATAGACAGCTGCACAACAGACAGGTGTGTACCGGACTAGTTAGAGTGTGTTTAAGAACCCTCCTGCACTTGAAGTAACAATACTGACCTTGTTGGATGTCTGTTTCCTCTAGATCTACCCACCTATTAATGTCTTGCCCTCCTTGTCTCGACTGATGAAATCAGCTATTGGAGAGGGCATGACCAGGAAGGATCATGCAGATGTGTCCAACCAACTGGTATGCAGAAAACCTCATCTGAAAACTTAGGGGCCTATTATTTCAAATCTTTTCTTAAGAGCATGCCAATCAGTTGCAACTGACTGCTTTAAAGCAGTTACTCTGAGTGCTTAGTGCAGTCAAGTGCCTCCATTTGATCTGGGTTAAACAGAAGTGTTGGTACAGAGATGCTGTGCATCTGTGTGGCATGCTGTCACGATTCTCAGCAGCGTGATAAATGTGCACGGTATGATGTGGAACGCTTGAAGTTCTCCAGCAAATACCAAGTGAACTGTTCTTCTGTATTAATTGAATGGAAGGTAATCTGGCTTAC